AGTTGGCTCACCGTCTCCATAACTACAATGTCAGGATCAAATTTATTGAATGAAATTCATCCATCTCAGAAAGCAAGATCAATTCTATACGACATATCCAAGAATAGTTCCAGGAAAACTAAGGATCTGTCTTACGTGGCCACCATGAAAAATGCCAAAGTCTCTTTCTTGAGCTTTTCCTCATATTGTTCATCATCCAGCGCATAGTCATCCTACTCCAAATCAAAAACAACCTAATGCCAATGGTACTGAATTCTAGAAGGAACTTTTCAAGCCATAAAGCAAAGTTATAGAAAATACTCAATTACTCATACCAGGTCAACAACTTTGACTGCTGCTTTCTCATATCTTGCCTTAATCTCTTCTGCTAATGCCTGCAATAAGAAATTCTCATTAAGGTAGAATTGTTACAAAATGAGAACACTTGATCCTTCTGACTTTCAACCCATAATTAGCAAGCACATTCTCAGGCACCCAGCCATATTTAGCTGGATGTCAAACTAACAGTATACGATTCAAAAAACAGATCTTTAGGCTCTTGGATTACACCATTAGCCTAAAGTTCTGATTTTCAGCATCTACAAACATAAGAATCAGCAACTAAACACGAAATTCTAAAGTGCTTACCTTGGCAAAGCCCTCTGCTGTTCCCGTCTGCGTGCCGAAAAAAAAAGTCACCTTCTTTTTACCGGAGGCGGCAACGTCTTCATCACCGCCATCGTCCCTGAGAGAAGGCGGCTGGGGCACCACCACAGGCGTGGCTTCGCGGCTACGGTTAGCAGTTGACTTTATCCACACGAACACCAGGAGCCCAACTATGACCGCCAACGACGTCGTTGCGATCACTATCACCGAGTCAGATACAGAACCCCCTAACGACACCCCCAGCACCGACTCCACGAACCGCACCAAATCTGAGCTGGAACTCATCTTCGCCAATCAGAGACAACCTCTCCAACTATCCGATTATACCTCTGCTGAGCTTCCAGGGAGCACTAGAAGATTCGGAGATGCTTGAGAACGGAAGAGGAAGAGGAGGTGGTTTGTATTGTATGTGATGCGATGCTGTCTGTGGGACCTGTAAGAAAATTTTGGGGGCCGGAATTTTTTTTTCTTTTTCCTTAAATACAGCAAAGGTTCTAGGAGAATGGAGAACCTCCGTTTCCGGTTCGCCGTCGTCACGCCGATCTCAGCCGTTGCGCGTTGACCAACAAAACGCGCACAACGGTGAAAGGGGAAGAAAGAAGGAAGCCCTGCTCCGTCGTCGAAATTGTTTTTAACGTGTTATATTTTTACCGCCCCACTTGTTACGGCGGTCACTGTCAGTTTGTCTGCGTTTTATAATAATAATATTAATAATAATAATAATTTATTATTAAAAAAATATAAAAATGATGATCACATGATTTTTAGGTGGAATTATTTAAGTATTTAATAATAATAATAATTTATTATTAAAAAAAATATAAAAATGATGATCACATGATTTTTAGGTGGAATTATTTAAGTATTTTATAAGTTTGTTATTAATTTATTAAAAATATTTTAAATTTTTATTATCATTCGTATTTTTATGGTTAAATGTTCATTTTGGTCCCTCAACTTTATTCATTTGCACAATTTTTTGTCCTTAAAGTAT